GGGGTGGTGGGGGGGGGGGGGGGGGCTGGTGTCTGCACCCCATGGTTGTGCAGCTGCAACCAAGCTCTGAGCTCCCCAGGGTGCTGGGGGAAAGGGAGACGGAGGGATGGATGGATGAAGGGATGAGTGGATGGATGGTCAGAGATGTCCTCACGGCTTCAGCATCTGCCCAAATGGGGTGGGATGCCCCGGTAAGGACTGCGTGCTCCTCTGTCTGGTGGGGCTGTGGCTGGTCCCGAAGTGGTTAAGGCTGCCCAGGCTCGGACGCCGGCTCCCGCCGCCGCGGGCGTCCCTCCCAGCCGCTTCCTGCCGGCAGCCTTTGACCGGTTCCTGTCGGTGACCACCCTGTGGGCCTGGACGCCAGCACGGCCCCATCTGGTTTGAGTTACGCTCTGCGGCGGTGACGTCTCCTTCCTGCCTGGCCCCAGGAGCCGCGCGTTGCCCTGGCCCCGACAGGCCACGGGGGCTGTAAGGCCCCGGCACGGGGTGGCTCATGGAGCTCCTGGCTGGGCTGTTGTCCCCAGACACCCCTGGGGCCCCAAGCTGCTCTGGGGTATCAGTTCCCAGACACAGCCCTGCGTGTGGATCCGTGGCATGGGGATGCACGGACACCGGCACAACCCAGTGCCCCAAGCCCAGGATGGGGGACCCACCACCCCACAGCCTGGTTTGACATCCCCAGCCCTCTCCTTTCCCATCCCAGGACCCCATGGAGGCACCCACTGGGGATGGAGGAGTGGGACCACGGGGCTGGTATCTGTGGCCCCATCCCATGCTCCTGGCTGAGGGGTGGACAGGGCTTGGGAGCTCCCTGAATCCCTGGGGAGGGGACCCTGCTGGGGCTGATGGTGACAGAGCTGGTCCTGGTCCAGCACAGGCCACGGCAGCCGGTGTCACCCCTTGTGTGAGGGTGTCCTCATCACCCCCACAGACACACCACACACTCTGGTGTCCACAGCATCCATCCCTGGAGCCCGGAGCACTCAGAGAGAGCAGGACCCTTTCTCCATCCCTGCCTGCACCCCAAAGTCATGCCCCCCCGCCTCACCAACACAAGGAGGGAAGGGGAGCGAGCAGACCTCCTGCAGCGGGGGCACCTTTTGCTCTGTTACTGGGTGCAGCCCAGTCCCCACAGCACAGCCCATACTGGGAGCGGGCGAGCGGGCAGGGGGCCAGGCCACCCACCACGAACCGGGAGTGAGCCGGGGCGGAGGCAGGGCAGGGAAAGCAACGGACCCACGGCCGGGAGCCAGGAACCGGGGTGGAAAAGGGGAGCACCGGGAGAGCGGATGCCCGGGGTGGCGCAGGCAGCTGAGCTCTGGAGGACCATTGGGGACCTTGAGTGCTGCTGGAGCACCGGGAGAGCGGATGCCCGGGGTGGCGCAGGCAGCTGAGCTCTGGAGGACCATTGGGGACCTTGAGTGCTGCTGCTCGGGGTGGGCAATGAGATGCTCCACGTCGTGCCAATGCTGCTCCCAGCCCAGGGACCCCCGGCGTGGGGCCGGGGCTGCTGGTTCCCAGGTGGATGGTGGGAGCCCGGGGCGGGCGATGGGCCCGGCCGCGCTGCGTGGGAACCAGACGGCCCCTGGGCACGGCCGCCGAGCTCTCGCTTCCTCCCGCGCCCCCGGGGACCGGCGAAGGAGGGGGCTGAGGTCAGCCGCGCTCGCCGCCGGCCGCTCCGGAGACGCCAGCATGATGTAGGCGCTTAAATATTGTTTTTCACTGGGGAGGGAAAGAAAAAAAAAATAGCAAAAAAAATTAAAAAAAAAAAGAGAGAGAAAAGAGAGGCCCAGGGCTGAGTGGCCGTCCCCGATGATGAAGGGTGGCCCCCCTCTGCCCTGCCCGGGTCTGGGACACGGCCATGGCCCGGCAGCAGACGTCTGGGGGCTGATAACGGGGCTGACGTGGCCGCGGTGCTTCCCGGTCCCTGAGTGACGCCAGCACCGTCCCTCGGTGCCAGCGCAGCCCCCACAGAGACCCTTCATGATGAGCCAAGCTGGGGTCCTGCTGGCCTTGGGGGCTGGGGAGGGGGAGCTCGGCCACACAGAACGTGGAGAGCCCCCACTAACCTGGTGTCCTCCCCCTCCATGGGTTCTGGGCTTTGCTGTTCCTGGGGTCTCCCCTCTCTCCGGCTGCTGTGGGCAGGATGGGGGCACGGGCCCCCGCTTTACCGGCATCGCTCTGGCTTCACTCCAGTGCTGTGGAGATGCTGGCCCAGATGTCCCAGCAGTGCGTGGGAAGAGGCTGGTGGCCAGGTCCCAGCCCGGGGCTGTGTGGGGATATCTGCCCACCCCAGTGCCCCCCAGCCTGGCTGGTTGGGGCAAGCCCCCGTGCCAAGCCTGGTGGTGACTCAGACGGTGCCTCCTCACCAGCAGCCGCCCGGCGTGATTCAGGTCAGAGGAATCCTCTTTTCCCAGCCATTCCCATTACAGCCACAGCCCCTGGCACAGCCAAGCTTTGGGGGGTGCCCTGGCCTTGGAGTGTCTGCAGGGACCTGGTAGGACCCCAACTGGGCACCGGCACAACCCTGAGCAGGGACACAGAGGGGAGGGAGATCTTTCCCCCCAAGAGCAGAGCCCCGACCAGTGCCACTGCCCCCAGCTCCTACTCAGCATCTCTCTGGGGCCATGCTGGGGTGTGAGCAGGGCCAGATGCTGATGCCAGTTGTGCCATGTGTGGCACCTGGGCAGGCACTTTGAGCAGTCCCAGGTGCAGGGAGATGGCAGCCAGGCTCCACAGGAGCTCACTCCTGCCACAGCGCATCCCCCTGCCCCTCGTGGACGGGGTTCCCTCCTGCTACGCCAGGATGGGGTTCAGGGGCTCCTGGCCCTGCTTTGTGGCAGGACCTTGTCCCCAGCATCTCCTGGGGACATGGGACATGGATGTGGGTGCTCTGACCCAGGCCATGCCCTGTCCCCCCACGACCGTGATGTCCGGCCAGTGATCACCAGTGGGACGAAGGCTGAACTGGGTGGCCTTGGGGACGCGTGTGCCCTGGCCAGCACCAGAGCTGGGGCAAAGGGTCCCCAGCTTGCCCCTGCCCCCTGCCCACCCCAAATGGGGCGCAGAGACCAAGAGAGGCAGCGTTGGGGAACGTGCTTTATTTGGTGTTGGGACCGGGGGGGTGTCCCGGGATGGGCCAGTCCCTCACTCGAAGAAGAACATGCCGGGTGTCCGGTAGAGGCAGGGAGGCAGCCCCAGGGAGTAGCCGTTCCCCCCCTGCAGTGGGATTGTGCCCCCCGGCCCCCAGGGCTCCTTCTGCTCACCTGCCCGCAGCCCTGTGGCCCCAAAGGGTGCCTGGCGGGGGGCGGTGGGGGCCGGGGGTCCCGCTGCCAGGAGATGCTCCAGCGCCGCGCCGCACGGCCGCTCCTTCATGCAGAAGCTCAGCGCCTGCACCCGGCATTGGTAGCTGCTGCCCAGCGCCTCGGGCCCCGACCGGCCAAAGGAGCTGAAAACTGGCAGGGGGGGCTGTGCATAGCCCTCCCCCTCCAGGAAGCAGGACCCCCCAGTCCTGCCCGTGCCCAGGAGGGTGCCAGGGAACGCGGGGGGCACCTGCCCAAAGGGCTGGCCTGAACCCAGCCCCGAGGTGGCTGTCTCCTCACCCTCCAGCTGCCCTGGTGGGGTTCCTGGGGGGGCTGGGGAGTCCTGCGGGGGGTCCCTGGGCTGGGCGGGCAGCAGGGTGGGCAGCAGGGCAGGATGCGGTGCCGGGCGCTCACCGGGCAGTGGGTACTGACCTGGCCGGGGCAGTTGCAGCGCTGCCGGGAGCCCCCCGAAGACAGTCTCCTTGGGTGGGCGGCTCTCCGGGGGGGCGAAGAATTGCCCCTTGGGCTGCGGTGTGTCCGGCAGGAACAGGCAGGGCTGCCTGGCCTTGGGTGGCTGCCTCCGGGCGCAGGGCTCGGTGCACCCCGGCACCCCAGTACCCTCAGGCAGAGTGGCAGGGCTCGGCAGGCGCCCTGTGGCCATGGGGGAGGCATAGCCCCCTTCTCCCTTCCCCTCCTCGGGCAGCGGGGTAGCAGGCGGCCCCCGTGCCCGGTGCCTGGGGGTCTTCCCACGTCCCTCGTCCCCCTCGGTGCCCGGTGCATCCCGAAGGACCCTCTTCCTGGTGAAGCGCCGGCGCCGCCGCAAGAAGCTGCCGTTCTCGAACATGTTGTAGCAGTCGGGGTCGAGGGTCCAGTAGTTGCCTTTGCCCGGCTTCTTGTCGTCGCGGGGCACCTTGACGAAGCACTCGTTGAGGGAGAGGTTGTGGCGGATGCTGTTCTGCCAGCCCTGCTTGTTCTCGCGGTAGAAGGTGAAGCGGCCCATGATGTAGCGGTAGATGCCACTGAGGGTGATGCGCTTCTCGGGCGCGCTCTGGATGGCCATGGTGATGAGGGCGATGTAGCTGTAGGGTGGCTTGGTGGCCTCAGAGCTGGGGAAGGAACCACCAGCCGGCTCGGGGGCCGGCGGGCTGCGCAGCACCGTGTCGCCGACGGGGAGGTCCGGCTGCATCCTCCCGGCCGGCCGTAGCCCTCCCACTCTGCTGCACGGCCCCGGCCACGGCCCGTTAAAACCCGCCGGCGGCCCAGCCTCCCGCTGCTGGCCGGCGTGGGGGCGGTGGGCCCCTCCTCCCCGGGGCCGCCCAGGGCGGAGCGGGGCTACGCTTGTCCAGCGCTGGTCCCTGCGGACAGACGGACGGACGGACGGACACGCCGCCAAGGCCAGCGGCCAGCAGCCATCGCCTCCGGGGCTGGCACGGCTGTGGCCTCCCCGGGGCAGGGGTGGGCAGCGCTGGCCTCGGCCAAGTCCCAGCCATGGCCCCCGGCTTCCCCGGCTCCTCTTCCCACGGGAGGTTCCCACGACCTGGGTCTCATCCTGCCCTGCCCACGGAGCGCAGCCGGGCCCCAGTTAGGGATGGTGGGGCGCTGTGAGGGGGGGCTGCTGGTAGGGCTGGGGCTGCTGCCAGCCCTCGTGTCCCCACCTGCCCCCTGCCCACCCATGTCACAGCCCCTCCAGCTTCATCTGGTTGTGCCAGATCCCGTGCACTGTGCCAGATCCCGTGCCCCGTGCCGGATCCCGTGCTGGATCCCCGCTCTGAGCCTGTTCCCTGCACCACTCCGGGTCCCCACACCGTGCTCACCAGCTGGAGAAACGGCCTCCAGGATGCAGCACAGCCCCCACCTTCCAGGAGCCCCCTCACCCCACCTGCCAGGGGAAACTGAGGCACGGGGACAGCGAGTGCCTTTGGGATTGGCTCCTGCGCTGCCAGGTCAGCAGAGCAGCCAACGGGCACCCTGCTGTTGCCTGCACCCCCTGCCAAGGGGCTGGGGACCAGGGGCAGGATGAGACCTGAGGCAGCTCACTCTGCCCCCCACAGCTGGGGCTGGGGCTGAGGCTCTGCCTGGGCTTGGCTCTGCCATCCGCCCGTGCCCCCCTCGGACCCGTGCCAGCCCCCCACAGCGGAGCCAGTGGTACTGAAACACAACCTTTATTTCTAAGGTTCGGGAACAGCGAGTCTGGCGGTGCGAGACACGGACAGAGCTGGCTCTGCCCTGGGCTCACCAAACAAGCACACAGCAAATCCCACCCGGGTGGCACCCGGGGAATAAATACAGCGATCCGTGTGGGGGCAACAACCATCCACCCCCCCTCGCCCCTGGCCTCTGCCTGCCCGTGTCCAGCCCCGCAGTGCCGAACGTCCTGTGCGCACCAGGGGAACGTGGCCGGAGCAGGGCTGTGGGGCGGCAGCGCATCCTGCTCCGAGGCTTTGTCGTGACTGGGGTCTCCTCTCCCCCCTCCCCGGCCCGGGCTCAGGGCTGGCAGAGCTGTTTGAGGACGCGGATGATGTGGCTGGAGGCACCGGGGGCGCAGGGCTGGGGGGAGTCCCGCAGCAGCATTGGCCCCATGCGCTGGGCGTGATGGAAGAGCTCCCGTGCGAACACCGGTTCCACCTGTGGAGGCACAGAGCTAAGAGAGGACGGGCACAGGTCCATGTGCCCCCCAAAGTGACTGCCCCGGTGCCCAGCTCGGTGCCACCATGAGCACCAGCCCTGGTGTATTACTCACGTGGGCCATGATGAGCTTCTGGAAGTGGTGCCCGGCGCTGGTGGGGTACTCCTCCCCGAAGCACAGGTGGATCTGGTACTGCGGCGTGGGCTGTCCGTGGCTCAGGTACCCCCGCAGCTCTGCAAGACACCATCCCTGTCAGAGGCCATAGGGTCCCCACAGCCCCACAGCCCAGAGGAGCCATACTGGGGCAGGACTTCCCCCCATTCCCAAGGGGATGAGGGTCTCCCAGGACAGGGGCCAGTGGAGCCACGTGCCCCGAGCAGCGGGCAGGCACTTACGCTGCAGGAACTGCTGTGTGTCCAGCAGCTTGTAGGTCTTCTCCCTCTCCAGCTTGTTGGGCCAGTCCCTGTGCGGGGCCAGTGGCCCATTCCAGTACACTCTGCCCTGGCACTGGCGCTTCATGAAGACCCCCTCGGGCGCTACCCACAGCAGCACGCCCCGCTCCAGGTGGGGCAGGAGCCTCTCCAGCACGTCCGTCATGCTGGCCACCCGGCCGCTGCCGCTGAGCGCCCGCGGCGGGGGGAACTCGATCTGCTCCATGCAGGAGGGGCCGTAGAGGCGCTCGTTGTTGGCTGGCACGGCGCGGGAGGTGATGCGGCAGCCCTCGGCCGTGCGGGTGGTGACCTCCTTCACCAGCACGTCGCAGTAGTAGAGGCGGACATGGAGCCAGCAGTCTGGGGGGAGAGGAGGGTCAACTTGTGGGCAGCCCGGTCTGAGGGGGCCACCCAAAGGCACTGCCCAGCCAGCACGGCTCCTACCTGAGTGGTTGACGTCCTCCACAGGGAGGTAGGATGGGTGTCCAGGGAGAAGGTGGTGGTGGGTCGGGTTCCAGCCATAGAAGACTCCCCTCACATGGTACCCTGGGCCAGGGCAGAGATGAGGTGGCAAAGGGACATGGGCAGCTGCACCGAGGGCCCCCAGGTGCTGTCTGAGCCCCAGCCCCTGGGCAAGGTGGGGAGCAGGGTGCTTCTCACCGCTGCTGCTCGTTACCAGGCCTCATTAAAGCCCATAAGCACACGATCTGGGGCTTTTCTCTGAGGCATGGAGGGAGCCCCAAGCCCTGGTCTCCATCTCCGCGGGCATTGCCTGCACAAGGTGCAAGGCTGCAGAGAGTGGGGTTGCTCCTACCAGGCAGCGTGTGCTCCCAAACCCATCCCGCTGCCAGGGACCCTACTCACCTCGCTCAGCCGGGTGGGCAGAGAGCAGGGGCAGTGGAGACACATGGCACGGCTCTATCGTGCCCTTCTGGCTTTCCTCCTCCGGACTCCCCACCGTGCTGCCCTGGGGAGGAAAGGGGGTGCAGTGAGGGCTGAGCCAGCAGCTGGGGGGCACCTGAGCTGGCTCCTGCCTCTGCCACAGACCCCGTGTGCTGGCAGACCCCCTGTCTGAGTTTGGCAGCTGCTTGGCACAGGGAACTCTCAGCGATGCTCACGGGAGCCAGCTGCCCAGTGGGACAGAGGCAGGCAGCGTGCAGGCAGGGGAGCAGCCGGCAGACGAGGCAGGATTTGGGGCTCCCACCTTCTCCAGCCCACAGGCAGCTCCTGGTGGTACAGGGTGGGGAGCTGGCTCACCTGCTGATCCTCACTGGCCGGGGACTGCGTGTCGCCATCCTTCTCTGCAAAGAGCCAGGAAAACCCACTGACCCTCTGGCCAGCTACAGGAACAGCCACCGGGAAGGCACGTGGCTGCCCAGGACACCCAGAGAGGAAGAGGAGTGGGGAGGAAGGGTGTCCTGGTTTCAGCTGGGATAGAGTCAATTTTCTTCCTAGTAGCTGCTGTGGTTTGGGTTTGGTATGAGAATAATGTTGATAACACATATTGGTTTAGTTGTTGCTAACTAATGCGTATATGAAGTCCCATGGAAGCTGGGAGGGAGCAGAGACAGGACAAGCTGGCCAAAGGAATATTCCCTACGACAGGCATCACACTCAGAATATAAATGGAGGTTGGCCAGGGGGCAGGAATCTGTGATCACTGCTGGGGGTGGGTTGGGCAATCGATCACCGGGTGCCGAGCAGTTGTATTGCATCACTCCTTTTGTATATTCTTTTACCATTATTATTGTTATTACTTTCTCTTCCATTACTCTTCTAACTGTCTTTATCTCAACCCACGAGGTTTTTGTCCTCTTTTTTTCCCCTCTTCTCCCTACCCTACTGAGGGGGGAGTGACTGAATGGCTGCATGGTCCTAGTTGCCAGCTGGGGTTAAACCAGGACAAAGGGTGATGGCTGCAGGACACAGGGCTCATCCAGGCACGGTGCAGGCGTGAGTCCCAAGTCTGGCACAGGAAAAGGGGCAACAGGGACATACCTGCGTCCCGGGCACTATCAGACACGATCTGGTACACCTTGTAGGGCTCGGAGATGTCCAGCTGGCTCCGCTCAGGCACCTCCTGGAAGTCGGTGCTCTTGTTGAGGGCGCAGCGGAGACGTGTCTTCCAGGTGGAGGGATCAGCCTTGTCCGTCCCTTCGTGGTACTTCCCCTTGTAGATGGCCCAAGCCTGCCGGGCAGAGGGTGCCCTGTGCTGCGGGGGCTACCCATGCCCCAGAACCCTGCTCTGTTGGCCAAGGGGGTCCACCGGGCTAAGAGCCCACTGGGGCTGGAGAGGGGGCAGTGGGGAGGTGGGGCTGTGTGCCCTGGGGGGCTGCAGGGAGCTGTGTGGTGGGGGGTCCCAGGGGAGTGCATGGAGGTGAGCAATAGGGAGCACCGGGAGCGCGCATGGAGCTGGGTAGGAGGTCCCGAGGGTGTGCATGGGGCCAAGGGGGGAGAAAAACGCCTCTCTCCCCCTCCTCAGCCAGCCCTTGCTGTGCAGAGCAGCTCCCGAAACCCCTCCCCTCTTCGCCTTCGCTCCCGCCACCTTTCCCTCCGGCTGCTCATTCAGAAGAGACGATGCTCCCCATCGCACGCCCTCCTCTCCGCTCCCCCCCAGCCCTCTCCCAAGCCATAGCCCACCGGGAATCCGTTGGCGAGGGGGAGAGGGGGGTCCCGGGGATCCCGGGGTACCTTGAAGAGCGCGGCGTCCTGCTGCTGCCGGTAGTCCTGCTTGGCCGCGTGTTTCCAGGGGATGCGGAAGAGCGTCCGGTGCCGGTTCTCCCAGCGCAGCCCCGGGTACCGGCCGCTGTCGATCTGAGCGATCAGCCATTCCTTCAGCCGCATGGGCCCCCCCGGCTCCGCCATCGCGGCCCCGTGCCCGTGCCCGGCCCCGCCGCCCCGAGGGAACGTGTTGGGGCGGCCGAAAGCGAAAGCGCGGCGCTGGGCTTTCACTTTCCCTTTCCCGCCCCGCCGCCGCCGGTTCTGGCTGTGCTGCCAGCTCGGTCACGGGGTGGGATCAGGGGGCAGCCCACGGGAGAAGGGCCAGGGCAACCCCACAGAACAGGGGACAGAAGAGGACACAGCCACCCACGGGAGAGGGGACACGCACCTCGCACCCACAGGAGAGGGGACAGGGCTACCCACGGGAGAGGGGACAGAGCAGGCAACAGGAGAGGGCACAGGGCCACCCACGGGAGAGGGGATAGGGCTACCCACGAGAGAGGGGACACCCACCTCGCACCCACAGGAGAGGGGGCAGAGCAGCCAACAGGAGAGGGGACAGCGCCACCCACGGAAGCGGGGACAGAGCAACCTACAGGGAAGGGGACAGGCACCTCGCCCCCACGCACCAGAAAGCACAGAGAACTTCCCTGTGCACCCCTCCCGGGTCCCTTCCTTCAGAGTTTCAAGACTCCCACATGCTCTCCACAGGCGACAAGGGACCCTGCTTCCCCGTCGTCCTGCTTCAGGGACCAGGACACCTCCCTGCCCCAAGAGCTGTGTCCTCCAGTGGAATCAGCATTTCAGGGTGTGGGGAGCTGCGGGAACAGGCACGGGGTTTCCAGGCTGGTGTAAGCAGTGACATTGCCCCATCTCTCAAATCTCTCTCGGCTCTGACACTCACATCTGCCTCCCCTCCGGGTGCTGAGTTGAACAGGAACTGGGTGGGAAGGGCTGAGATGAGCTGTGCCAAAGGCTGCTGGGGGCCAGGAAGGGAGCCTGACTCATCCCGTGCCCATGCTGGCTCCCTCCTGGCCCTGGGCTTCCTGGCAGAAGCTGTCCCCACAGAGGACACGTGGCGACTGTGGTCATGGTGCTTCTGGGCACTGGCCTTTCCACACGTTGGGAAACGGCTTCCCCTGGCTGTGCTGCTCTGCAGGGAGGTGGGTGCATGTGTGGGTGAGATGAGCATCAGCACTGAGAGAGGGTTGGACCCAGCACAAGATCCCAGATGGCCCCTTCACTCCCGACTGGCTCCTGAGCATCCTTGCTCAATGCTGTGGCTACCCAGGAGAGTTTGTCCCTCTTTCCTCCCAGTGAAGAGCCCAGCTCGGCTGTCTTTTTGGGAGGAAGAGGGATTTCATCTCACAGAAGGCAGGGATGGAGCTGGCTGGTACCAAATACCACCCAGCTGCCCTTGCAAAGGGCTGTGCTGGAGTAGGGTGGCAGTGTGACCATCACCCACCCCAGCAGCAGGGCATGAGTTGGGTGGGCTTTGCCTTCTGGGCTCACCAGGCCGCCCTGAGGTGACACTGCTCCTCCGTCACCGCTGGAGAGAACCACATGTCGCTGTGTGGGGAAACCCAGCTCCTCTGCCCAGCCTGCAGCTCACCAGGGCTCCTTTCGCAGCCCCCTGGATTTCCTTTCCAGCTCTGAGTCAGAGAAAGTCACCTCTCGTGGGGAGGAGAGCTGAGACTCCGGAGAGCTGGCGGGTTGCTGGGGGCTGCAAAGCCTCAAAATGAATAAGCAGCGGCACAGCACCCAGCCCTGGGCTTTCCGACAGGGACATGGGCACATGGCACAGAGGGCACACGGGGCCACACAGGGGTGCCACGCTGGCAGGGGTTTGCTCTCCTTACTGAGCCCATCCATGGCCCCTTTGCCAAAGAACAAAGCCTGCCCTCCCTGACGGTGCCTGCTCGGGGTGTGGGTCCACAGCTCTCCCTGCCTGGTAGGAGCAGGTGGCAATGCCAGGGCTATGGGTCTGAGCACCAGGAGATGGGGGAGTCCCGGTTTGGGAAGGGGGAGAGGGGCAGCAGGTAGGACCCCCCTGGCCCAGCCAGTATTGGGCCACCCTCACTGGTGCTGTCGTGGCCGGGTTGGCAACCTCTGCACTTGGGGTGGCACAGGAAGCTGCTCTGCTCTGCCCACCGCGCCAGCGAGGAGGGGATTACCAGCCCGCTGCACCTCTGCCAGGGCAACGTTCTGCCCCCACCTCCACCCCTCATCCAGGCAAACCAGGGCCCATATTCCAGGAAAAGGGTCCAAGACTGATCGATGGAGGATCCGCATCTCCCTTTTCTGCTCTGGGAAGCGGGGCGATGGCAAAGGGCAACTGTGGCAATCGCACAGCCTCTCTCAACGGCTCGCACTGATTACATCCAAGGCTGGGAGATAATTGTAGCCGCCGGCTCATTAGCCAGCTCCAGCCCGACAGGATAAGCCTTTATCTGCCGGGGATTTCATCTCGTGTGACAGCCGCGCGGTGACGCACAGGACCCGTGGGATCTAATTACCCCGGCATCAGCGAAGATGCTCAGGAGCCAGTTTCCCCACCGTGCTGCTTCCTGCCCAGGGAAGGTGAAACTGCTTAACTCTTAAACTTTTCATGCCTAACTGAGCTTCAAAAGGAGTGAAACATTAACTCACAGCTAACCCTGACCTCACCTGGGTTTTTCCAGTTGTCTAAACCAGATCTGCCAAAATAAATACATTTTGCCGTGCGACAGAGCTGGGCTGGAGGTGCCGTTGCTCAGTGTTCAGCCTCGCCATGGGTTTACAGTGTGAGCAGGGAAACCCTGGGTGTAAATGCCTCCACACAGCGTGTCCCAGCGTGGGGCTGAAGGCAGGGTGCAGCCACGCACGAGGCACATGTCCATCCCAGGTAATGGTCCTGGGGTGCAGGGCCATCACCCTGCTGGGTGCTGGGGGGACAAAGGGTCCTCAGGATGCCCAGCCAGCTGCTCGTCTTCATCCACAGCCACCATGCAGGGGTAAATGAGTGATTATTAATTACTGATGGACATGGCTTGTCCCATGCTGATGTCTCCTGGAAGCTGCCAGGGCAGAGGCAGTCCCCACTCTCCAGGAAGCTCCTTCACTCTGGGACCCCACGCCTGGCACCCTGTCCAACGTGGAGCTGGAAACCTCCCTGTAGGCGCCTGTCCCTGCCTGACTCCTGGGGGACACCATCTCCTGTGGAAGAGGGGTGGCAGGAATGGAGGGAACACAGAAACACACACTGGCTCCCAGCAGGGGAGATGCTGATGACCCAGCTGGTCATCCCCAGTATCTTCCTCACCTGGGACTCCACCCCAGGGAAAGGTATAAATAGGACAGGTTTGGGGAGGAGCTGGGATTTGTGACACCCAGCTGGTGCCAGGCTTTCAGTACCCCCAGCAATCAGAGCCAGCTGGCTTTTGGCCCCAGTGCTCTTGGCAGGCTCCATCTCAGGTGAGTGAAGAGGCTGTGGTGAAACAGGAGCCACGTGAGTGCCTGACCTCTCCTGGGGCAAACCTTGTCCCCGCAGAGGGCTCTGCTGTGGCACTGAGGTTTCTGGCCCCTCTTGTAACCTTCCCGTAAGGCAGCAGGGTGGTCCCCTGCCCAGGCATGCCGGTGTCCCCAGCCCACTGTGCTCCTTCCCCACTCCTCCCTTGGCTGCAGAGAGCTGCCACCAGCAGCCTCCAGAGCTGTCCCATGCTGGGACCTTCCTCCTCAGTGTCCCCCTTCCTATTTGGCCATCACAGGGGAGTCAGGCTGTGCCCCAGGCAGACTGTGGAGAAGAGGTGTTTATTACTGGGGGAGGGACATAGAAAGTCTTTTAAGCAAAAATGGCTTAAGGCTCTGCTTTAGTGAGGTCTAGCCAGGTTAAATGCTTAGTTCCCACCTTTTAAAGATTGTGCCCTGGGATGGATGGGGTGCAATGGGCTCTTAAAGCTACAGTGCTTGCTCAGGGCTTGTGTTTGGCCGGGCTGGAGCTGGATCCTTGCTTGGGAGCTGGGGCAGTGGCATCACCTGCTGCTGCACCCCTGCTCCACAGCTGCCTCCGCTCTGGGAGCTTGTGCTGCTGGTGGGAAAACTGCTCCGAGGGGAGGGCTGTCTCTCCTGCACCCTGTGCACCCCAAGGCCCGTGCAGTGGGTACCCAAGTGCTAAAGCTGCTGCTGGCATCATCTGGGTGCTGGCCCTGTGGCAGGAGAGACCCCCTCCGTCACTCTGTCCCAAGCGAAAGCCTGCGGTGACCTAGGGGTTGTCAGCTGCCCTGTCACCAGGCATCCCCAATGTGCTGGGCACGAAGAGGTTGAGCCCACCGAGCGCTGCAGGACCCGGCAGCGCACACGAATCTCTCCCCGACAGCTGAGAGCCAGGACAGAGGATGGCACGCTCGCACCCCAGAAGAGAAGAAGGAGCTGGGCTTGGTGCAGCTCCCCTGTGCAGTGCTGCCCCAGCCCTCTGTGCTGCGGCTCCTTCGTCTCTCCCAGGCTGTTGGGTGATTCTCGCTGCTCTCCCTTGGCTGGGGTCACTTCAGACAAGTTGGGATGCAGGAGAACGTCCTCTTCACCCGCAGCAGGAAGGGAGTCGTGGTCCTGATGTCTCTGGCTCTTGGGACCAGTCCTTGCAGAGCTCCCTCCGTCCTGGATGCTCCTCCTCTCCCCGCTGGCAGCAGGGCCTTTATTTCTTCCTCGTCATTGAAAGGGGATGTCCCATATCTCTGCTTCAGGTGCCTGCGGACCTGGGGAATGAAGGAGAACCAAAGTAAGCTGCTGTTTCCAAGGGCAGGTCCAAGCCTGCCAGCAAGGGGAGCGGGGAAGCAACCTGGTCCCCTGGGGACCTTGCTCTGAGACCCTTGGGCAGGCTCAGCTGTGGGGCAGAGCATGGGGGGCAGAGGCTGGTCCCACCTTGCGGGCTGCACCGCCGTTGAACTCAGCCAGCTGTTGCCTGAAGCCGGGGTTGGGGTTGGCCACGGGCCGGATGGTTCGGACGGCATCCAGCACCTCCTGGTAGCTCAGTTCCGTGACGACCATGACGTAGGCCACGACCACAGTGGTGCTGCGGGAGATGCCTGCGAGGCTGGCAAGGGAAAGGGCAGAAAGGCTGTTGTCAGCAGCGCACCCTGACCCCATGCTCGCCCCTTCCTCCACCCTTGTGCTTCAGCTATTTCAGTTCCTATTCTCCGAGAACTTACTCTCTGGGAGGCCTGAGCTCTTCCAAGGTCCTCTCCATCACTGCCTATAAATACCCACTCCTCCCTGGGGAATCCAGAACAGCGGTCACTGCCTGGCTGCCTGCCCCAAACCCTGCTCTTCCCACTCCCTCAGCTGCAGTGAAGAAGCTGCTCCATCTCCAGGGCTGCCTGGATCCCACTTGGTCTGAGGCAAAAGCCACAGCCAAGGGTGGATCCGTGGGCACGGAGCCCTCTGGCACAGGCTGGTTTTGATCAGGGGCCTGCAACCAAAGCTGGGGGCTGGATCTTTTCTTCTCTGTTACACTGGGGGGACATCAGGAATGGGGAAAGAAGCGTTACCAGTGGACGAGGCAGTTCCCTCCATGCAGGCGACACTGGTGGATAAAACTGATGCATTCCTTGAAGTGCCTCTTGCTAGCAGGAAAAACAAACCAGAGAGAATAAGGGCTTCAGGGGTGGAATAGGACTTTTCAGCTGCGTGCAGCACAGCCCTGAAGCTTTGAGGATGAAGCACTAACAGAAACTGCCTGCTGCTTTACAAGCACCACAAGCAGCTGCTGAGACCTGAGCAGTTCAGTGCTGTTGCTTCCCGAGGGAAGGGGCACAGACCAGCTCAGGCTGTGCTGGGGATGGGAGTAGGTGCTCCTCTGCAGCTGTGCCGTGGTTGTGGGGGGCTGTTCAGCTGCCCTGTGACTCCTGTGACTTGTGCTGGGGGGGCGAGACCTTGGTTGGTCATGCCTCCAGCCAGGCCAGTACCCTTGGCTGGCTCCACACACCTTACCTGCTCTCTCCTCCTCCAGGCACCTCCCAGGAGAATCTGCACTGCCCTTCTCCATCGGTGCTGCAGAGGGGCTGCCCCTCACCTCACCCCAGGGACAGGACCCATTCCCCAGTGGTTACTGCGCTGGGATGCTGTCAGGGTCCAAAGGTGGTCCCCAGCACAGGGGCATCATGCCTTCAGCCTGGCATGGAGCTGGAGGTGGCACCTCGAAGGCTCAGGGTGCTGTGAGCCCTCACCCCTGACTGCCCTGCAGAGCCCAGCCCTCCCGTGTGCCCTGAGCCAGCCCTGGCATCCCTGGGGTACTCACATATTGGCCTCGGGGGTGTCAGGCAGGGGGATGCGGAGGTAGGTTATGTCCTGGAAGACACAAAAGGAAGAGGAAAAACTCGGGTGCTGTGGTCGGGGTGTCGTGGGTGCTCGCAGCTCCTTTGCTCCTCACCCCAGTGTTGCCTGTAGGGATTCACTCCCCCAACACAGCATCCCCCCTGCGCTGGGATGGGGCCACTCTGTCCCTCAGCAGGAACCTGGGGAGGGCAGCAGGGGACAGGCAGCTGGTGGGAGGGGGTGGGAAACAAGATGATGCTGGAGAGCTGGAAATAGTTCCCCGTTCAAGGCCAGGTTATAGTCACAAGACAGCCAGTTTCCCAGAGCTGGGGCAGCTGCCCAGCTCCGTTGGGACTGCTGGCAGGGAGAGGTGTACATGCTGTGGGGTGCTCAGAAGGGGAAGGAAGATGCTGCAGCATGGAAGGAGCTGCCAACATCTGCACGGTGGTGTCAGGCACAGGACTCTACCTGCAGCAAGGGCTGGGGAGATTCATGGATGGAAACGATGTGGGTGATCTTGTTCCGGCTTAGCTGCTCTAGGTCTTTGGCATCTAAAGGATAAAACTAGATATTAGCAGGTATTTATTTCTTACCCTTCTCTTCCTAGAAATGCATCCACTGTGCTCCTGCAGACAGACAAGCACGCGAAGCCTTGCTCCAGAGGATCTCCTGCATCACACCCCCCCCCATGCAGCAGCACAGACACAGGCAAATAAGCAAACACACCCTGGAAACCTGGAATGCGAACCCCTTGATACCAGAGACCTCCTCCCTCTGAAGGCACTCGACCTCGCTGCTTGTGCTGGGGTGAGAATTCACATCTGCCTGGAAAAACTCCCTCCTTTGCAGGCAGGCAGCCTCCCGCCTGCCTGTACTTGTCCCCAGCTCGGGGAAGAGATGTGAGCTCTGCCTGCACCTCCCCTGTGCCAACAGGCATGAGGTAGGGGGACTTGCTGCAGCCTGAGGGATCTGCTCTATCTTGTGAACTATGGAAGCAGAGCTGCAGACACTCATATCACCCTGAGTTTGGTTCGGTCTCTCTAAGCTCCCCTTTAGCACCCGAGGGGGCTGCAGAAAACACCTGAAAAGGCAATTGGCAGCACTTTGCATGTATCCTCTCTGCAGTTGCATGCACAGAAACTGGGTGTTCTCAGTTTTCTGGGGCAATGATCTGCTTCTTGCTAATGTTTCAGCACCCCTGGTTGTGATCCTGGTCACCAGTCCACTGGGAGGGCAATGTGCTTGTCTTGCTGGCCAAGCAGCTCCGTATCCATCTCCCTTTCATGCCGTGACCAGTGGAGGCTGCACAAGCTGCTGGAGAGGAGGAGTAACATTTTTTTTTTTCCCCATCTTGTCGCTTTGGGTTTCTAAACTTTCACGTGGTGTAAAACCTTGGCTCAGGAATCTAGACCGCAATGTGCTAACAGCATGATGTGAATTTTAATAGGAGTGAGTCTCGGGAGAGAGGCTCTGCGGGTGAGCCGTGCCGCGGATGCAGGGAGGGAGGTGGGGACCCTTGTGGGGACTCACACCTTCCCACCTGCCTCGGGCAGGCAGCGCGATGGCAATCAGTGACACCGCAGAGAGGCTCTGCGGGTGAGCCGTGCCGCGGATGCGGGGAGGGAGGTGGGGACCCTTGTGGGGACTCACACCTTCCCACCTTGCACTGATGGCAATCACTGACACCGGTGCCAAAGCTCACAGTGACTGGAAAAGCTTTCAGTTGGAGAAAACGTCTCTGGGAGCAGTCAGAGCTTAATGGAGCCAGCCTGAAATCTCTGTCGTCGCCCTGGATTGCTGGGTAGGTTGGTGCTCAGGTGGCACCAGGCCAAGACCCCACATCAGTGAACCTGGGAGCCAAGTGCCCTTGCCCCTCTGCTCCCAGCAAGCTGCAGCCCCCCAGCCCACCCCTAGATACTCCATGGAGTGCAGGGAGCACAGGGCTGCCCCGGCCAGGACTGCTGCTCAGGCTCCAATGGCATTTTCTTAGCAATTCACACCCGTGGTTATAAACTCAGCACTTAGAGCAGGAATCAACTACCAAAAGCGCCATTAGGGAGGCAGGAGCACTAATTAATGATGGTTTGTCATGGCCAGGGCTTGGTCATTAATTCTCCTCTGACAACAAAAGCCCCTTAAAATAGTGAACTGATGTGAAAAGAGGTGAATGCCTCTGGGAGAAACTCTGCCCTGAGGGTGGGCAGCCCCCTCCTGCCTCTCCCACAGCTGCAAAACTGGGGTGCATCACCCTGAGCAGCTCTGGTCCTGCTCCCTGAGGCTGGTGTGGCACCACCAGCTCCTCTGCTGCCAGCACGGGATCCATGCCAGCTTGAGCAGAAGGCACAGCTCACTGTGGTGGGTGAACTCCCACAGAACTCAGGGGATTTTGAAAGCAAAGCCCAGCTTTTCCTCTGTGCCCCCATGCCCTCCCAGCCTGCCCAGCTCGCTGCCTCGTGCAGGGAAAGTAGGACAGCTGTGAGGGCTTCCCAGTGCCAGCCAGTGGAGTCGTGGCAAGGATACATCTCACTGGGCACTGCTGGGACCCTCCCTGGTGGGGCGACCCCCACCTCACCCCCTTCCATCCACGTGTCCCAAGAGCTCAGGGCAGCCCTTAAATAAGGAAACCAAAGGGAAGGCAGAGGTTTTCTGCCTTGGGTTTGTCTCGGTGCCTCCGCTCGCTGCTGCCAACACAAACCAAGGAGCAGAGCGTGTGGTGGGCGCTGGCAGGGCACTGGGCAGTGTTGGCAGGCAGGGAGGCACCAACCCAAGCAAGCCCAGCTCCCCAGCTGGAGAACATCCCTGTGGTGGTGGGGCTCTGCTTACCGATGAAGTTCCCAAGGTAGAGGCCAGGGAGGATCTGTGGGACACAAGGAAAAGTGGCAGTGTGAGCAGTGACCTTGTGCTGTGGTACCCACCGCGCCGGGACCCCTTGTCCAGAAAGGCCAAATTTCTGTTGTTAACGTGACTCACCAGCCCTGGAGCAGGATTGGTGCTGGTGCAGCTGACCGTGGGTGCTCCTGGGGCTACCACTGCTCTGGCATCCAGCACAAGGGGCTGGATGCAGCCCTGGCACCCCAACCTGTGCCACTGCCTGGCACTGCACCCTCACGGGCGCTGGGAGTCAGCATCGGCCACGGCTTTTTTTTATTGCTCCTCTTGCTTATTGTCAATAGCTTCTTTGTTGGGGCTTTTTTATCTGAGCTCAGCAAGCTGCACACGCCTCCATACAGCCTTGGACTATACCCGTGGCCCGTGGAAGTCCTGCTGCCCGAGGGACAGGGAAGCAACAGGCACGGAGAAGGGTGCGGGTACGCAGTGGTCCCCCCCTCAGCTCTGCTTCCTCTCACTCGACACCTAAGGGAGCCCTTTTCTAACAGATCCCTCTGGACACCATGTCTTCATCTTATTTTCCTTGTGAAATTCCACTTTGCACGATGAAAAGGTAATTACTTGACAATGCCTCTGTTAATTGCACTGCAGGTATGGAAGCAGGATGGCTTACATCCCCTCTTACTCAGAGCTATTTTTTATTTTCCCTGTCTCCCAGCAAGGCTACCCAGGCTGTTCATCCCTTTGTCCACCAGTTCCCCACCAGCTTCTCTGTGCTGTGATGGTTGGTGCCTGGGACCTGGGCAGGCAGAGGTGATTTCTACCAGCACAGCTGGGCTCACACTGCTCTCCCTGCCTACGTTTGGAAACGTTTCTCTTGGTCAAACAGCTTAAAGAGGTTTTGGTGGGTTTTTTTTTTTTTTTATGATTCCTAAGATTTTAGATCAACTTTCTATTGACAAGGGTGCCTTTAAGTTGCAGCTGCGGCACCGAAAGGAGGTGGTAGAAGAGCACCAGTTAGCAAGGGCAGCTCCCAAGGGCAGAAGGCTGAGCCACGAATAGCAGCACCTTCCATCCCCAGCACCCTTCTGACCCACTCCTGGCTGGAGAAAGCAGGGCACAGGAAAGCCCCGTCTGCAGCACCGGGCTCTTCCCCAGATAACAAGCAGTTATGGGGCTGGGGAGGGGTGTTTAAAGCTTAGGAGCTGGAGATACCTGCAGGAAGAAGGTGTCTCTATTTACCTGTGACAGGGAGAAGCTCCAAAGACCATAAAATAGCACCCGCCCCCTCCACGCAGGGATGCTGGGCTGGGGGTCGCACAGGACCCCCGGTGTGTGCTCGGGAGCTGGTGCCTTGGTTTTAAAGGCGCTGGTTTTTTTTAAAGGCACTTGGTTTTTAAAGGTTCCCCCCCTCCCTGGGAGGGGATCTCTCTCACCCTTGCCCTCCACACCCCCCAAGCCACAGTTGCGGGCTGGCGCGGGGTC